CAGCACTCGGGGAGTCCACACACTCCTCCAGCATCAGGGAGCGTCCTCTGAGATACTTTGAGGATGTGACAGCAGCTGTGTCAGAGCTCACAGACAAACTGCAGCACATCCTGACACAGGACTGGACTAAAGTCTCACTGGCAGCCGCTCAGCTGGATGTTCTACTGCCACCAGAACCAGAGAGCAGAGCCGACTTCTTAAGATTTTCACGTGACATCACACTGGATCCGAACACAGCAAACAGACGCCTGTTACTGTCAGAGGGGAACAGGAAGGTGACAGATATGGATCAACCTCAGCCTTATCCTGATCATCCAGACAGATTCACTGACTATTGTCAGGTCCTGAGCAGAGAGAGTCTGACTGGACGTTGTTACTGGGAGGTGGAGTGGAGAGGGTGGGAAGGAGTTGAAGTAGCAGTCTCATACAAGAATATCAGCAGAGCAGGAAATGGGAATGAATGTTTATTTGGCCGTAATGACAAATCTTGGTCATTAGACTGTAATAAAAAGGGTTTTACATTTTGGTCCAACAGCATTAAAACCTCCCTCTCAGCTCCTTCCTCCTCCAGAGTAGGAGTGTACCTGGATCCCAGAGCAGGTATTCTGTCCTTCTACAGCGTCTCTGAAACCAGGACTCTCCTCCACAGAGTCCAGACCACCTTCACTCAGCCTCTCTATGCTGGACTCTGGGTTGGTTCTGAATCCTCAGCAGAGTTGTGTGAGCTCAGGTGAACTCTCATCTCAGCTTGTTGCTCAGAGTTCACTGCTGTGACGTCTCAGTTGTTTTTATTTTCCTGCTTCTTCCTGTCTTTGTGCAGCCGTGGAGGAAATCACTGCTAACCAGGAGTTTTATTCACAGAAAGTTTGAACTTCTCTGAGCTCTGAATGTTTGCTGATGTATTTGTATTTTGTTGTTTTTCTTTCCCTTCACAGAGAAACCAGCAGAGCTTATTTTGTCACAGAATATTTGACATCTCATCACTTTGGAAATGGGGAAATTATTTACAGTTTTTGTTGATTTAAATGAAAGAAGTTGTTGTTTCCAGGGTCAGAATCTATTTAATCCCTCTTCATGTTTAATTTAAAAAAAAAATTGTTTCATTTTATGATTTTTGGATTTTAGAACAAATAAAACCGTAAAGGAACCAATAAATGATTTGTCTTTCTGTTTGTTCGCTGAACATTTGGGCTGATTTGTATGTTGCTGTTTCTCTTTTTTGGTTGATTTGTACTTTTATTCGCTTCAGAAAAAAAAAATCCATAAAAAATAACATCCTTTCTACAGGAAACAAAATCTCTTATCATTTGAGTCTTAATATAAGAAAAATATTTTTTTACGTCTTTCAGACGTTTACATTAATTATTTGTTCTGCTGTAACTTCAAAAGATTAAAAAATGAGTTAGCAACTGGAACAAAAATACTTTAGAAGATTTACTGTTGAACAGAAATTAGGATGAAACTGCAGACTGGAAGCTGTTTGTCTTTTCCTGTAAAAAATGTGTTTTTCTGAAGATTTTATTCATTTTACTATTCTTTTTCTACACTTTTTTGGCTTTAAAAATAAAAAATAAAAAAGGCATACATCTCATCAGCATGTGACATAAAACTATATATATATACTATATATAATATACTATATATAATATTTTACATTTCATCACTTTGGAAATGTGTTTTTGGTGTTTTAAATGAAATATGTTGTTGTTTCCAGGGTCAGAATCTATGTAGATGTTTAATTTGAAAACAAATTGTTTCATATAATGATTTTTGATTTTAGAACTAATAAAACCTTAAAGGAACCAAGAAATTATTTGTCTTTCTGTTTGTTTCTAGTTTGAATCTGAAGAAAATAAAAAAGGTCGATATTAAGTAAAAGAAAAGACTGAAATGTTAAGTTAACTTAGATTATACAAAATGCAGGTAAGATGAACGAAACTCTTCCAACATGCACAAGAAAAAGAAAAAGGTTTCCAATCTGCATGGTTTCACACCAGTGTGGCTTCTCATTGGGCTGGTGAGTGCAGACCTATAACTAAATCATTTCCCACATGTTTTACACTTGAAAGGTTTCTCCCTTGTTCAGCTTCTCGTACGGATGGCGATTCCAGACCTGAGAATCAAACCTTTCCCATATGTTTCACAAAAAAAGGGTCTCTAACAAATGTAGAACACATCAGAATTCATTTGTGCCAAAAAAAAAGAAAAATTCTGGTAAAACTTTTCCCACATATTTTACAGGAGGTCGCCTTCTTCTCGTGTGTTTAAGTCCAATACGGTAAAACAGGAAAAATGTAAGATTCCTGTCCTCCAGCAGCTCCTGGACTAAAAACGGACCAAAGTTTAGGCATTGATCAGAAGCCAGTAGTTTACAGACTCTTTCATTTCACTGTATTCAGCAGAATGAATGTGGACTTAAGTTTTTGTGGGTATTTCTACATCTAAAATGTGCAGCATCTCCACACACGTGAGAAAACATTCAGGTTAAGCAGACTAAAGTAGCAGCCTCAGAAACCAGCCGGACCAACAGGATCAAACAGCACAAATGGTTTATTTCTTTTTAGTC